CTTGGGGGGGGGCCAGCCTGGAGCTGGGCTTGGGCTCACACTCACAGGCACTGTGCTGCAGGCAGCTACTTCAGGGCATGTATTTCTGGCCCTTGGGACAGGGGAGGGCATGCAGTGGGAGGCACGCTCCGGGACTCGCAGGAGCTGAGGGCTATTTCTGGCTCTGGTTGCTGACCCGCCAGGCCGCCCTCGGCCAGTCGCTTCCCCTGTAACTCCCTCGTGCCAGGCTCACCCTGAGTCTCCAACCCAAGGCTCCCTCTGCCACCCACACCAGATGCTCCTGAGTGGCGTGGGACCGCTGCCACGCACCGTGCAAGGTTTGTCACAAGACCGTGACACTGGCTGTGATCTTTTGATGTAAATCTGCAGTAGGCTGGCAATAAGTGCCCTAGGAGAGCTATCAATAGGCAAACGATGCCCCTGAGGCATGTTTTTGTCGCCCTGGAAATGGGTAACCTACAGACTGAGGCAAAGAGGTGGGTATGTTGAAAAAAAGAACAGTCATTGCCATCCAGATGTCACGCTCCGCCTTGTGCTAAAGGCTGTGAGCTCTGTGGCCTGGGCCTGGGCCCCTTTGCTGGCCATCCCACGGAGCAACCCCAGGCAGAGGGCAGAAGCGAGCAGTGGGCATCAGGAGTGGTCCCAGAGACCCCAGAGGCTGTGGGACAGAAACGCATTGGCTGGCACCCTCACATCTTCCCCACCAGCTTCTATATATGGGCCTGCCCCCTCTGAACCCATCACACTCGGATCTCAAGTGACACACTGGGGAGGGAGGGTGTGTGTGTGTCTATTTTTAGCCTCCGAATGGATCTGTGCTGGAGCCGAGCTCTCTGCCCCCGTCAAGGGTACAGCATCATGTTGTGCTGGGAGGATTTTCCTGCGTGGCTCTTTGAATGGCTCCATCACCGGCTTAGACTGTGGTACAGGTAGGATGCAGCTTTGTGCTCTCTCTGCTTCTCCTGCTGCTGGATCCCCCCTGCTGGTTTTGGGCTCTGTTGCATCTCCCTCCCCAGAGCCACGGGTATGGAAGGGGCTGCTGTGGCTTGCTGAAATGTCCTT